AAGTCCATAAAAAATGTTATTTATTACATACATTTAATTATATTACTTCTAAAATACCAACTACTAATGAAGTAATACTAACAAATATTTGTTTGGTCAAAATTAGTTAATTGGAATTAATTAAACGTTTTTTTCCTCTACTGTAAAATTTGGTGTTTTGTAGTTACGCCGTTTGCTAAATAGGCTGACGCAATGTTATTTCATGGTCGATATTTCTTGTTTCTGGTTCGAGATAACTTAATAATATTTGAGCTCTTTCTTTGTACGTTGTAAAGTTGATTCCTTTTTTAACAATCGATGAAACAAAAGAAAGAAATTCATTTGATTTTTCGAGGCAATTTATTTTTTCTGAATATCGCTTACTTGTATAATAAGATRCCATAAATATTGTAGCCAGTGCATCAAAAGCACAAGTATTACGAAGTGCAACTTTACCAAAACCTTTTATATTGCGACTTTTTAGATCGATTACTTTTGAACCATTTTTTAATGACGCAAATGTGAGYTAGGATTTAAGTAAGAATTTGTTATACATTGTTTTTTTGATTTTCTATCCCATCCTTTTTCGGCAGTATTCTCTTCACAGTTGTTATTGTTAATCGCTATCGGTTTGTTTATTTGAATTTTGTTATCCGGGTAAAATAAATCATTAATATTATTTTCGTCAATTTCAATATAATCATCTTCAGCCAACAATTCCTTAGTTTGATCTGTTGGTATAATTTCTTGAAAGTCGTCACTTTGAATAATGTTATGTGTGTAATTTGAAGATGCACAACGCAAAAGAGAATTTCCCCTAAGAGAAATTATGTGTCGTTCTAAAAATAAATCTATTTTTGTAGGAGTCTTTAAAAGTGACCACTTTTAGCTTTTTGAAACTCGATTCTACACCGGCGGAACTTGCTGTTAATTTTACATATTTAAATATAGGTATCATTAAGCCTGACCACAAAGTTAAGAAATTCATACATTTAACTATTAATGGCAGTAATGTGGGCAAATATATAGCATTGATGCCATTAGCTTCTTGAATATATTCTTTGCTTTTTTCAAATATTTCCTCAGCCCAAATCTGAAATGGATTTTTTTCATTATCAAGATTTATTTGTGGTTCATCTACTTCCTCAATTAAATCACTAATATCTTTCTCAGAGTCAACAGTTGATAACACTTTATTGTACCATTCTTCATAATTAATAAAACCAGTTGATGTTATTTCAATTAATTTATTTTTATGATGCTCACATGAAGTGTCTTTTCCTGTTACTACATCAACTCCATCAGATTCATTTGTTATTACAACAAATAGGGATGAAACAATCAAATATATTTCCGAAATAGATTGGTTTTTAATTATAACTCCTATACAACGTAGAATAACTTCTCTAACTCTTCCTTGAGTATTCTTCAATGGAACCCTTTTAGTAACTAATTTTATAAWGTGAGCAACATCTGTCCGTATAAAACAATTGGGCAACCAAATGCTAACTTAGCACAAACTCTGATAATATAATGTTGTAGTGTAGAATACTGTGTAAAACATTTTACACATGTGGACAACAACGCCATAGATTGGTAGCAAACAGTTTCTTTAGGTGAAGGCACATTAAAATTTAACCGATTTGCTAGCCAGTTTTAGATAAAAAGAGTTGTATGCCGCTCACTTATCATGTTTGAAACCGTAAAGCTGTGTAGTTTTGTTTCATCGTATACCAACGCTGCGTATAGATAAATTGTTTTAGTTTTATTCATTCCACATTTATTGAGGTTCTTTATTATTGAACCAGTTGCTTCGATGATAATTTTTGGATAAGAAGTACTTTGACAGTAACTTCTGTAGAGATGGATCTGTTCGCAACTATGGTAATGTATATAAAATGGTTCAAAACTTAAATCATRTAGAATGTCTTTATACCTACTCATTTTCATTTCTCATGATTGCTAGTGAAGCATATACGTCTTCATGTCTTCTATTTGATGCCGAATGTCGCCATTTTGTTTGACGTAACGCACCCCCCCCCCGGGGTTGTTTTAATAGGTGGTTCAGAATAACCTGAAAATATAATTCAGTTTTAAAATATTTTATTGACGGATAATTTTAAAGCTTTTTTTTTAAATCATAAATTATATAAYTGAACATTATACCAATTGCAAATCTCGCTTATTATTTTAATTTTTAAAAACATAGGTCGCTGTATAGTATGTATTTTGAGTATGTCACGGTAATGAACGTTTAAATTTGAATTTAAAAATAACTCATCGCATAAAACATTTGGAAAATTATTAGAAATTCAATTAAACGTAGAAAAAAAATTGTGACGATTTAATTTCAGCATTATTAGAATATTGTATGACTACTACCATTGATTATAAATACTATAGATAGCTCACTGGGCTGTTTTTCGATGGCACGGTAATTGTCGGGTGACGCTATAAGGCGCTGTAGTCGCGTGGTTAGTGTTGGCGGGTGACGTTATAATCGCTAGTAGTCACGTCTTGGCATGTCGTGGTCGGTGTTGGCACAACGATTTCAGGAGAGGCACATCATTCCATTATTGACTATCCATGTAATACACGTTAAGTGTAAAATACGATAGTTTTTGAAGACCTATGCAATAATCATACATAAAGAGTCTGGCAACACTGCCGTGTATACTTAAGAGGATGTCAGCGCACTATTTGTTTTCTCTCTGTGACCCACGCGTAACATAGACAAAACGCATTTACGAAGAATCATTTTTTCTWTGTCTTAAAGTAATTTWAGAGTAAAACCTTCCATTACAAAAAAGATAAAGAATAATATTTTTGAGGGAATGACATATCGATTTKATATTTTATTGATATTTGACTTTCAAAATAAACAAAAAAACACTGTACATTTAAATAATGTTTAAATTATTTAGAGACAATATTTAGACAAATCGATATGTCATTCCCTTTAAAATATTATTTTCTATCTTTTWTGTAATGGGATGTTTTACTCTAAAATTACTTCTAGATATAGAAAAAATGATTCTGCGTTTATGCGTTTTGTCTATGTTATGAGTGAGCCAGAAGGAGAAAACAAATAGTGCGCTGACATCCTCTTAATATTAATTTTACACCATCTCTATCACTATGGYAATACAGTATAGTATCCGTCACGCAGAGCGTACATATATAATATTTTCTATGCGTACAATCCGAGATATGATGCGTTTTCGCGGATTTACTGGATACAGACAGTGATCCGGGATAATCAAAATCGACTGTACCCTGTGTATAATTTAACTTGATTAGGCAGTTTAATAGATGTTCATTTTGAATACTAATAAAAAACTAAAATATTCAAAGCTTATGTCTTAAACAATATACAAATATAATTGATTAATTAGTGTAATGAATACTAATTATGACAATTAATAATCTAAATAAATAAAACAATTTAGTACTACTAGATTTAAAAACAAACATGAAACTCCACTTGAATAAATAGTTGATAGCATTTTATAAAATTATACACTAAAATTATTAACATTAGTTACCTATATTTTGGAAAAATAGGTACGTTAATTTTTCAAGGTTCTGTATTTATAATCAATATGCTACTATTAAGTTTAAATATACAAAAGGTTATTACTTATGACTTTATGAGCAATGAGCTATGAGCATTTTATATTGTACAAGGAATACAAATACGCGATATATCATATTGTCATGTATTATTATGTATTACTAGCTGCCCGATCTTCCTCCGGAAGAAATTATTTTTTTGTAATTCAATTTAAGAACATAAGACTATTTTGTGGCTATACAAATAATATAATATAATTACATATTGTAGTTATTGTTTTGCTAATTTCTGAAAATTATATACCTATCTTACTACATTAAGAATTCAATCACTGGTGTGGTAAATTTCAATCTTTTTACTATAGAATAGAGATAAGGTAGAAAAAAATGTAACAATAAATTATTTGTTCACTGAATAATATATATTTCAAATGGAAAAATGCAAGTGCCAACAAATAAATAAATAATTAATGATAATAATAACAATAATAAATATACAAACAAATAGAATATTTAGTTTGATTTTCAATAAATTACTGAAGATAATATAGACAATAAAATTAATAATCACTGTCTTATTGTCTTCTACTAATAATTCTATTTTCTACTGCTTGACGTTCGAGATTTAATCTGATTTTTTAAATGTAAGTTCATTAATTTCATTTTGCAGTTGTTCTTGGAGGATGTATATTTTGTCTAAACGACGTTTCGTAGACTTTTCGTCTTCTACTATTTGTGAAAAAATCCTGTCATCTACTGATGTTAAATATGCATTATCTGTTATTGRAAAAAAAATACAATACACATTATAGAATGTTGCTTGTAAGTCAATTCGTTTAACCTTTTTTGAAAAACTTACCTGATTTATTTAATGTAGTGTTATYGATTGACGACGATTGTGTTAAATCCATTCTATCGACTTGATACCGGCCGTCTTTTTTATACCATTCTTTTAAAATCTGTTTTTCAGGCCAATTAGGGTTAATTTGTATAACCGTAGACTGCGTTACAGATAATTTTTTACCTTTTTTTATAAATTACTAATTTACYCTTCTCAACTGATAGAACGTCTTCTATTTTTCCACTAAATGCAATAGCTTCTTCGTTCCATAGCGTAAGTGTTATCTAAAATTAAATATAACATAAAATCATTTATAGGTATTTAAAATGGCTATCGAACGATTGAGAACGTTATTTCTTTTTGGTCGAACGATTGAGAACACTTAAAATTAACAAAGAACTTACCGCTGACCCAAAAAAACCTAAAAAACAATACGATTGAGAACAAATTTACTATTGCAAAGTTGCCATATTATTTATTTGGCTTTTGAAAAATTTAGTAAAAAACTTGAGCGTTCTCAATCGCGTGTTACTAAAAATAACATTCTCAATTATAACGTTCTCAATCTTATTTTAAAATAGATAAAATGTTTATTGTAATATAAAACCTACTTACCTCGATTCCAGTAGTATCTGCTATTATAACATCTCGTAGTTTCAGTGTTTTGGTTGGCTTTACAATGTCTACTATGTCTTCTATGCGAATTATTACTCCAATAGTGTCTAGAAAGTAATTAAATAATAAATAAAATTAGTTATAACGGAAGACTATATAGTAATGTGTAATATACATACCAATTATCGCATCATTATTTAATGATATAATACTATCAAACGTCATAAGAGTAACGTGTGTTGGAATTACATCCGAYGTCTCTTCTATTGGAGTAATAATTGTCATAGGTCCCATTATAATTTCATAATTATGATTAAGTCGATTGTATAATTTATTAGCTTTGTTAATTTTTCCATTTACTATGCTATAAATCTGGTCTTTCTATAAAGATACAAATCATTATGTTTTTATAGATACCTTATAAGATACATTTTTAAATTTAATAAATCGTATTTGACGATCGTAATATTATTATTTATTACTATTCTTCATACCATACCTTGAAAATTGAGTACACATTTTCGGCATCGTTWTTAAAAGCGGTGAGGCGTAATTCTCCCGTGGCATCAAATATATCCACMCAAAAAAGTTTTCCTGTATTATTTTTGAAGGTACGTAATTCGTGAACTTTTAAAACGCGTGCTTCAATCTTAAAACTAAATATGAAATTATATTACATCATATTATAAATATTGCATAYAACATTTATACGTAGTGTAAAAAAAGTGCTATTAATACAGTGTAAAGTATCGTATATCTAAGTTTCAGTAATTTAAAATCGATAATTACCTTGATCCCAATGACTGATCGATGTCTCGAATATTTACCACACCGGCCATGATATTGAAACAGCAAAATGTTTACTATAAKTAGGTATACGATCTTTAAGTTAACTTCGTTTCACTTAAATGATGGAAGAATAACTGATAATCGAATTAGGCGAGTGCTCGTATTTAAAGAGTCGATGGAAATGCAATCAACGAATAGCATGAGGGAGGCGTGTTATGGGTGGTGCCACCGCCCAATGAAATGTCAAAACAAAAGATACCACATAAATACATAATAGGTACGCATTTAAAACAGATAAGCTTGACGTTGAATAGTAATGTTTATTTTATAATTATGCTATTATTCAATTTGCTTAAATTACATTAACATTTATAATAGGTAGATATTATCTAACGACTAACATTAAATAATTTATACAGTTCATCAGATTGAATTTAATATAATAACAAAAATAGCTTAAATGAATAAATTACATTTACTTAGATTTAAAAAATATTATACCCAATATATTTTATTTTATACAATACACATATTATATAMAAAAATATAAATATCTAAATCAATATTTATATTATTGATATTAATAAAATTTCCGGGTAAACAATATTTTTAGTTTTACTTGCAAATGGTGATAAAATTGTAATACACTTAGAACTGCCTACTCTAGAGCACGCTACATATAACTGACCATGAGAAAAGCATGGCTCGCTTAAATCAATCCCAATGACCTTAAACGTTTGACCTTGAGCTTTATTAATGGTCATTGCCATACAGGGTTTTACAGGAAACTGTAGTCTTTTAAATTCAATTGGATAATCTGTGGGTATCTTTGGTATTMGAGGTATGAACACACTTTCCCCGGAATAGCTACCAGTTAAAATAGTTGCTTCTAACACATTTTGTTGTAAATTTGAAATCAATAATCTAGTTCCATTGCACAATTTAGGTGCGTCTAAATTACGGAGCAATATTATGGGTATTCCAACCTTAAAAAAATATGAAGTAGGTATTATTTCATGTAAAAAAATTAAAAATAATATTAATAAGATTAACGTTATGTTAGTGTAATAATAAAATATATTATGCCTACTTTTAATTTCAACTCATGCGGTGGGAAACCAGGTGGATTTAAAGTATGAAGAAATTCAGAAGGATAGTTCACAGATTG